GAGTCCAGGGCACGCGCGTCGGCTCCCGCGTCGAGCAGCGAGTTCACCACGGGCAGGTGTCCCCTCGATGCCGCTCACGTCAGTGGCGCCTGCCCGTTCTTTGCCTGCGCATCCACAGTGCAGCCCATGGCGATACCATGCTGCACGAAGGCGTCGTCCTCGATGAGGGCTCCCCCCGTGCAGCAGACTGTGGGCGCCGCCTTCCGTCGCCCTCCACAATGCCGGTTTCCGTTGTAGCATTACCAACGCCGTGTCGAGCCGATTCTGCCGAGCATGTTAAATCACCTCTTCGAAAAGCAAAAACAATCGAAAACGTGATCCTCCACCTCCTCCTCCGCCTCGTACCCCGAGTCCTCCTTCTCGACGTCGTGGCGTGAGTCATGACGCCCAGACCCAGAACATGAGGTCCTCGCTTGAGTGCTTGCTCGTGACCTTGTTGGAGTCCCTGGCCTTGCTCTTGCCCGTACCGAAGGCAGAGGCCCATGCGTAGGATCTAGCTCAGCAGTCCCAGGTGCACGGGAGTCGCCAGAGAGACCAGCAAGAGCATCTCCAGCTTGAGCAGCATGAACGTGGGCAGGATGGAAAACAGGAGCCTCGCGACGAAGTCCTGTGATCTCTGGCGGTGCCATTGCCACTGTTGCCTCTCTTCCATGCGACAAGATGTCTGCACCACCAGGCTGTGGAGTTTGCCCTTTAGCCTCGCGATACGCGTCAGATGCGACGTGAGGAACTGCAGGAAGACATGACGAGAGCGGCTTGAAAGTTATTGTAACGTTTTATTCGCCTGCTGAATTCCGATGCCCATGATCAGCCACAGAATAATGACTTAGAAATTGTGACAGGACATGTCTCAACCCTACAGTCGGGGCGTTGACCTCAGGAACCCTAAATAAGGAACGAGGCCCCTGCTTTCCATAAATTAAACTTCGATTTCCGATCGAAAATATAAAGGAAACCTGAGGCAAGCTGTGAAACACTTAAGGAACGCGGAGCCCCTCCCCAACCAAAAGGGTTCCTTCTTCAGGGCCCCGACTGCATCGTCGCACCGTTTTGCACCACAGAGCTGGAGCCTGGAAGTAAAATGATATGGCATGCAATCTTGTCAGGGTGAACGTTGACGCGCACCCTACATGCCGACCAGCCATAGCTGGGGGAGCTGTGGTCCTTACCCCCCCCTAGGGGAACCCATCGCATCGATGATCTCTCGAGAGGGACGTCGAAAACGATGGGTCCCCCAGGGGGGTAAGGACCACAGCTCCCCCACTTGTGGCTGGCCTGACGTGGTCTGCCCACCTGCAGCTGCTCCACGATGCACCGGAGCCGCGCGGCAGCCACCATCGACTGAGCAGCCGCAGGGGGGGAACGGGGGAGGCAGCGCGGTCCGCTCAGTGGCCCGTGAGGCGTGCAGATGCTCGCCCCGACATGGCCTTGCCTCCTCCTCCTCCTCCTCCCCCATCCTCCTCCTCCTCCTCCTCCTCCTCCTCCTCCTCCTCCTCCTCACTCCTCCTCCTCCACCTCCTCCTCCTCCTCCTCCTCCTCCTCCTCCTCCTCCTCCCTCCTCCTCGTCCTCCTCCTCCCACCTCCTCGTCCTTCCACCACTTATCCCCCAGGGGCAAGCTGATGGGGCTGAGGTGCCCCTCCTCCTCCTCCTCCTCTCCTCCTCCTCCTCCTCCTCCTCCTCCTCCTCCTCCTCTCCTCCTCCTCCTCCCCCTCCTCCTCCTCCTCCTCCTCCTCCTCCTCCTCTCCTCCTCCTCCTCCTCCTCCTCCTCCTCCTCCCACCTCCTCGTCCTCCCACTTATCCCCCAGGGGCAAGCTGATGGGGCTGAAGTGCCCCCTCCTCCTCCTCCTCCTCCTCCTCCTCCTCCTCCTCCTCCTCCTCCTCCTCCTCCTCCTCCTCCTCCTCCTCCTCGGTAAAGCCGCCCCCGACGCCTGTGCGGCCCGTCGTCGCAGGCCGACAGGTGGGGGTGCGCGGGCAGCCCGTCGGTGGGGCGGCCCTCCTCGGCTGCGCTGGGGCGCTCGTCCTCCTCGCTGCTGTCCTCGTGGGGCCGGTAGCCCGCCCCGCAGAGCTGCCCCCGCACCCCCCGCGCCGCTCCGCGCAGGGGCCGCAGGGCCGCGCAAGCGAGGGCGCCGGTGACGGGCCGATGTGCCACCACCGCTGCCATGGGCAGGAGAGGGAGGGGGAGGAGGAGGAGGACGACGAGGGGGAGGAGGAGTCGGAGGAGGAGGACCTCCCTATCCTCCCTTCTCCCACGTTCTACCTATGGTAGTGGTGGTGGAGGATCGGCCCATCAGCCGAGGGGCTGGGCAAGGCCCCGCAGGAGCGCGCTGCGCCGCCTCTCGGGGCAGTCGCTGCTGCGGAGCGGCCCCGCGACGGCCGCGTTCCACAGGTCCCGCACGAAGTGGTGCCCGTTCCTCTGGGGGCCTCCCAGGTAGGGTCCCGCCAGATGGGGTCGGAGGATCGCGCCGCGTCGCCGCTGCATCGACGATGCAGTCGGCGCTGTCGGCGATGCGTCGGCGGCGCTGGCGCGGAGAAGGTCGGGCTTCACATCCAGCCGCACCGATGCGCATCGGCGATGCGGTAGATCCTCCGACCCCATCTACTCGGACCCTATCCAGGCGGTCTAGCGGTTCCTGCTCAGGGGGCAGAACGGGCGGGCGCCGCACGCGGCCGCCAGGTGGCGAAGCTCGGCGGCGCCGAACGGCCGTACCAACTGCTCGCCACTGGCCCTGCGGCCCTTGTACAGCTGCCCCACCTCGGCCCGAAAACGATACAGGTGCCTCCTCCTCCTCCTCCCTCCTCCTCCACCTCCCTCCTCCTCCTCTCCTCCTCCACACTCCTCCACCTCCTCCGCCTCCTCCTCCTTCTCCTCCTCCTCCTCCTCCTCCTCCTCCTCCTCCTCTCCTCCTCTTCCGTCCTCCTCCTCCTCTCCTCCTCCTCCTCCTCCTCCTCACCCTCCTGCTCCTCGTCCCCCACTTATCCCCCAGTTGCAAGCTGATGGGGCTGAAGTGCCCCCTCCTCCGCCTCCTCCTCCGCCTCCTCATCCTCCTCCTCCTCCTCCTCCTCCTCCTCCTCCTCCTGCCTCCGCCTCCTCCTCTCCTCCTCCTCCTTCCCCCTCCTCTCCCCTCCCCTCCTCCTCCCCTCCTTGCCTCCTCCTCCTCCTCCTCTCCTCTCCTCCTCCGCGCCTCCTCCTCCTCCTCCTCTTCCTCCTCCTCTCCTGCCTCCTCCTCTCCTCCTCCGCCTCCTCCTCCTCCTCCTCCGTCTCCTCCATCATCATCATCATCATCATCATCATCATCATCATCATCAATCATCGATCAATACATCATCATCATCCATCATCATCAATCCACAAAAAGCGCAAAAGCAAGAAAAAAAAAAACAAAAAAAAAGAAAAAAATCATCATCACCACCACCACCACCACCATCATCATCATCATCAGCAGGCCGGCGCACAGCATCATCAGCATCATCATCATCATCATCAGCATCTTCATCAGCATCATCATCATCACACCAACCACACCACAGCATCATCATCATCATCATCATCATCATCATCATCATCATCATCATCATCGTCATCATCATCATCAGCATCAGCATCATCAGCACCAGCATCATCATCATCAGCAGCATCATCATCAGCATCACCGCCATCATAATCAGCAGCATCATCATCCGCATCATCATCATCATCATCATCATCATCATCAGCAGCAGCAGCAGCAGCAGCAACAGCAGCATCATGATCAGTATCACCATCAGCAGCATCAGTTTCATCATAAGCAACATCAGCATCATCAGCAGCAGCAGCATCACCATCAACAGCAGCAGCAGCATCATCACCATCAGCATCATCAGCAGCATCATCATATCATCACCATCATCATAATCCTCATCCTCATCCTCATCCTCATCCGCATCATCCTCATCCTCATCCTCATCATCATCATCATCATCATCATCATCATCATCATCAACAGCATCAGCAGCATCATCACAATCATCCGCATCAGCATCATCAGCATCAGCATCATCATCAGCATCAGCATCAGCATCATGATCAGAATCATCCGCATCAGCATCAGCATCAGCATCAGCATCATCATCAGCAGCAGTAACATCATCATCAGCATCATCAGCATCAGCAGCATCAGCATCAGCATCAGCATCAGCATCAGCATCAGCATCAGCATCATCATCATCATCATCATCATCATCATCAGCATCATCATCAGCATCATCATCATCATCATCATCATCATCATCATCGGCATCGGCATCGACATCGGCATCATCATCATCATCATCATCATCATCAGCAGCAGCAGCATCAGCAGCAGCGGCAGCAACATCACACGCCATGCTATGACATACTACGCTCTGCCGTGCTCTTCTACGCCCTGCTATGCCCTGCTATACGATGCATCGCGCACCCTCTCGGGATCATCGCCCTTCTCGAATTCCGACTGTGCGAATGAAGATGGTATCTACGCCATGGTCAGGCATGGGAGGGAGGAGTGGGACGTCCGATATGACGCGAGCGCACCTAGCTTGCCCCTCCACAGCTACACAATATGAATACTACTCTCCTCTCTCCCCTGATGACGTCTGCAAGATGCCTGGACCCCTCCGCGCACTGTCTTCTACACACAGGATTCCCGGGAATTGGATTTCGCTTGGTTGTTGTTCCAACATGTTGCCCCCGCTGAAGCGCTGGTCCCATGTTCGGGATTCCGCTCGTTCCGAATCGTTATCCCGCTGCAGCGCTGGCCTTATCTCCGCGCTTCCGCTCGTTCCGAATCGTGCTCCCGCTGCAGCGCTGCCCTCATTCTGCGCTTCCGCTCGTTCCGAATCGTGCTCCCGCTGCAGCGCTGGCGTCATTATTTCAAAAATGCCATGCCACGGCGTGCGATGCCATGCCTTCAGCTGCAATGCTAGGATATGCAGTGCTTGACTACGCAGTGCCACGCCATGCTATGCCATGCTACGCTTTCATCTCCAACGCCATGCTGTGTCATGTGTTGTAATGTGCTGCTGTGAGATGTCATTATTTGCGTTGCAATGCTTTGTGATGCTATTCCTCACTACGCAACGCCATGCCATGCTCTGACATACTACGCTCTGCCGTGCTCTTCTACGCCCTGCGATGCCGTTCTCTACGATGCATCGCGCACCCTCTCGGAATCATTGCCCTGCTCGACTGCCGCCTGTGCAAATAGAGAGATCTACGCCATGGATGGGAGGGAGGGGTAGGACGCCATCATCATCATCATCATCATCATCATCATCATCATCATCATCATCATCATCATCATCATCATCATCATCATCAGCATCATCATCATCATCACAACATCATCATCATCATCATCATCATCATCATCATAATCATCATCATCATCATCATCATCATCATCATCATCATCATCATCATCATCATCATTATCATCATCGTCTGCATCATCATCGTCATCATCATCAGCAGCATCAGCAGCATCATCACAATCATCCGCATCAGCATCATCAGCATCAGCATCATCATCAGCATCAGCATCAGCATCATGATCAGAATCATCCGCATCAGCATCAGCATCAGCATCATCATCAGCAGCAGTAGCATCATCATCAGCATCATCAGCATCAGCAGCATCAGCATCAGCATCAGCATCAGCATCATCATCATCATCATCATCATCAGCATCATCATCATCATCATCATCAGCATCATCATCATCATCATCATCATCATCATCATCATCATTCATCGTCCAACTCTGCCAATCTATCATCGTCCATTGGCTCATCACCATCATCATCATCATCAGCATCAGCAGCATCATCATAATCATCCGCATCAGCATCATCAGCATCATCATGAGCATCAGCATCAGCATCATGATCATAATCATCAGCAGCAGCATCAGCATCCGCATCAGCATCATCAGCAGCAGAAGCATCATCAGCATCATCATCAGCAGCATCATCAGCATCATCATCGACATCGACATCGGCATCATCATCATTATCATCATCAGCAGCAGCATCAGCAGTAGCAGCAGCGGCAGCAACATCACACGCCATGCTATGACATACTACGCTCTGCCGTGCTCTTCTACGCCCTGCTATGCCCTGCTATACGATGCATCGCGCACACTCTCGGGATCATCGCCCTTCTCGAATTCCGACTGTGCGAATAAAGATGATATCTACGCCATGGTCAGGCATTGGAGGGAGGAGTGGGACGTCCGATATGACGCGAGCGCACCTAGCTTGCCCCTCCACAGCTACACAATATGAATACTACTCTCCTCTCTCCCCTGATGACGTCTGCAAGATGTCCGGACCCCTCCGCGTACTGTCTCTTACACACACGATTCCCGGGAATTGGGTGTTCGCTTGGTTTTTGTTCCAACATGTTGCCCCCGCTGAAGCGCTGGTCCCATGTTCGGGATTCCGCTCGTTCCGAATCGTTCTCCCGCTGCAGCGCTGGCTTTAGTTCCGCGCTTCCGCTCGTTCCGAATCGTGCTCCCGCTGCCCATCTCCCGCTCCAGGGCAAGACGGACCAAAGGACATTTCGAACAAGTCGGAACAAAGCATATCCGCCCAACATGTGCCGACACATTGCATCAGCCATAGCAGATATTAAGTCTCAGTACGCTCCGCCATTGGAATGTGACGAGGATGCAGAAGATTCCGACCCCACCCTTGTCGATGATCTCTGGACTTTTGACTGCAAAGAGATTGGAGGGGATTTCTCAGAAGCGCCCGACTACGCTCGCCATGGAAACAATAAACAACGGGTTGACCCCGAGCGGCACAGATTCCAGATGGACCATGAGCAGTGCGATTATGATCCGACTCCTGCTCCTGACCCAGCTCCTGCTCCTGAGTGCCTTCCTCCCCCCGTTTTTTCCTGAGGACCTGAGCGTTGAGCATGAGGTTGAGGATTTCCTAGGGCCCCTCTCCCCCCTCTGCCCTTCCTTGCTGCCGCCGCCGTCGCTGCCTCTGTCTCCCCCTCCTCCTCCCTCGAGCGAGGAGCAGCTCGCCAGAATTGCAGCGAACCGCCAGGCCGCCCGCGCCCGCGGGGCCGAGCGCGCCGAGGCGGAGGCGCAGCGCAAGGCGCCATGGAGGGGGAGGCTGTCTTTCGCCTTCCACGTTTCCCCTGGCCCCTGCCCCTCCCGAGGCCCCACATGAGGGCCTCAGCTGGACAAGAGCACGGCGACACCGCCAATGCCACCGTCCCACCACCACCTCCCTCCTCCCTCCTCCCTCCCTCCTCGTCCCTCGTCCCTCGTCCCTCGTCCCTCGTCCTCGTCGCTCGTCTCTCGTCCCTCGTCCATCCTCCGTTCTCTCTCCTCACTCCTTCCTCCTCCCTCATCCTTCCTCCCTGCTCCCCCCTCCTCCCTCCTTCCTCGTCCCTCGTCCCTCGTTCCTCCTCCTTCCTTCCTCCCCCCTCCTCCCTCCTCAATCCTCCATCCTCCCTCCTCCCTCCTTTCTCCTCCCTCCTCCTTCATTATTCCTTCCACCTTCCTACTCCTCCTCTTCCTCCTCCGCCGCCGCCGCCTCATCCGCCCTCTCCGCCTCCTCGTCCTCCTCCTCCTCCTCCTCCTCGTCCTCCTCCTGCTCCTCCTCCTCCCCTCCGCTTCTCCTCCTCCTCCTTCCTCGCTCTTCCTCTTCCATAGCATCCCTCCATATGGTCAGTATGTCTGCGCATACCGTAGATCGATGGCGAACCCGTCGCCAATGTTTACCACCCGCCGGAGACTATTATTATAATGAGTGGAGAGCAGTTATTATTAGTGCATTCATAAATTATACGGTGTTAATTACATTGGTCGTAAGTAGTAAGTATTAATAGTAGTAGTCTATAGTAGTCTCATGACATGTAGTTTAAAGTAGTAGTAGTAGATAGTAAGTAAGTAAGTAGTAAGTAGTAGTATGTAGTAGTAGTAGTAAGAAGGAGTAGTAGTACGTTAGGCAGTAGTACGTAAGGCGAGTGTAAAAAGTAGTAGTGACTAGTAGTATTAGTAGTAGTAGTCAGTTATAGTAATCGTATGTACACTGTGGGAAAAACTCCAACTGCTAGTAGTAAGTAAGTTAGCAGTACACGTCGTAAGAGTAAGTTAATAGTGCGGAGCATGCAGCATTAGCTAAGCCTACGTGCTTTTTGGTATTATCGCAGTAATTACTGGTTTTTAGTGGTAGTAGTAGTCAGCATAGCTAGTAGGAAGTCGTAGTAGTAGCAGTAGTAGTAGTAGTAGTACTAGTACTAGTACTAGTACTAGTACTAGTAGCAGTAGCAGCAGCAGCAGCAGTAGTAGTAGTAGTAGTAGCAGTAGCAGTAGTAGTAGTATTGGTAGTAGTAGTAGTAGTAGTAGTAGCAGTAGTAGTAGTAGTAGTAGTAGTACTGATATTCGTAATATTAAAAATAAAATAGTAGTAGTAGTAGTAGTAGTAGCAGTAGTAGTAGTAGTAGTAGTCGTGGTGGTGGTGGTGGTGGTGGTGGTGGTGGTAGTAGTAGTAGTAGTAGTAGTAGTAGTAGTAGTAGTAGTAGTAGTCGTAGTAGTAGTAGTAGAAGTAGTAGTAGTAGTAGTAGTCGTAGCAGTACTACTAGTACTGTTAGTATCATTAGTAGTGATAAAATGGAATTGCTACAAAGTGTTGGCGTTGTCATTATAATCAATAGTGGCATTATTGATACTGAAATTAGAACTCGCATTATTACTAGATAATTATCATCATCATCAGCATCATCATAATCCTCATCACCATCATCATCATCATCATCAACAACATCATCATCAGCATCATCATCATCATTATTACTATCAGTATTAGTATGATCGTTCGTAGCAGTATTACGTTTATCAGTATGATTAGTATGAGTACTAGTAGTCTTCGTATTATTAGTATATTAATAGTATTGATAGTGTCACTGTTATGAATACTATTGTGAGTAATATTAATGTCATTCGTATCAGTATGTCTCTTATTGTTATTGTTATTAGTACTCCTCCTCCTCCGCCTCCTCTTCATCATCATCATCAGCAGCATCAGCATCAGCATCAGCATCAGCATCAGCATCATCAGCATCATCATCACCATCATCATCATCATCATCATCATCATCCTCATCCTCATCCTCATCCTCATCCTCATCCTCATCTTCGTCCTGTCTTTGTGTCGTCCGGTGCGGACGTGGACCCCCCGCCGAACGACGATGAAGAAACCGAAAGGTACCGATTCCGCTCCTGCCTGGACCTCTCCCCGCTTGCGGTCTGACCAGGAGTTCGAGGCGAATCCATCTGTGTCGACGAGGGATCTCAAGAAGAGCAGCGGGCATCGGCATCTGCCCCCCGTCCCCCGAGTATATGAGAAGGGGGGCATGGATAAGAGGCCTCTGAGAGCCCCCGCCAGTCCACCCTCTTCGGGCGAGAAGGAGGACTCCACCACGCCCGCGTCGGGTAGCCTCTCCAGCCGCGACCTGCTGCCGTCCGCCAGGTAGGCCTCCAGCACGGAGCGCCCAGCCGACGCGCCGGCGCCGCACGGCACGAGCCGCCACTCGACGCGGACGACGCGGGGTGGGCTGCTTGCCGGCCTGCTGGCCGACGCTGGCGGCGCGGGCGGCGCGGGGCTGGCGTCATCGGCCCTGCCAATCCCGAGGCCCTCCTCCTCATCCCACTCCTCCTCGTCCTTCTCCTCCTCCTCCTCCTCCTCCTCCTCCTCCTCCTCCTCCTCCTCTTCCTCCTCCTCCTCCTCCACCTCCTCCCTCGCCTCCCCTCCTCCTCCTCTCCTCCTTCCTCCTCCTCTCCTCCTACCTCCTCCATTCCGCCCCTCCCCTCCTCCCTCTCCTCCTCCTCCTCCTCCTCCTACTCCTCCACCTCCTCCTCCTCCTCCATCCTCCTCCTCCTCCTCCTCCTCCTCCACACCCCTCCCCCTCCTCTCCTCCTCCCCCTCCGCTCCGCTCCTCTTCAACCTCCTCCTCGTCCCTCCACCTCACTCGCTCCTCCTCCCTCGCTCCTCCTCCTCCTCCTCCTCCTCCCTCCTCCCTCCTCTCCTTTCCCCCTCGGCCCCCTCGCCCTCCCCCACCCCCCTCCTCCTCCTCCTCTCCTCCATCTCCTCCTCCTCCTCCTCTCCTCCCACCTCCTCCCCCGCCCTCCCTCCCCTCCCTCCCTTCCCTCCCATCCTCCCTCCCTCCCATCCCTCCTCCCTCCTCCTCCTCCTCTCCCTCCCTCCCCTCCCAACCCTCCCTCCCTCCCATCCCTCCCCTCCCGCCCTCCTATCTGCGAGTCCTCCTACCTCGCTCCTCCTGCGCTCCTCTGCTCTGCGCCTCTGCTCTGCTCTCCTCTCCTCCTCCTCTCCTCTCCTCTCCTCTCCTTTCCCTTCCTCTCCTCTCCACTCCTCTCCTCTCCCTCCCTCCCTCCCTCCCTCCCTCCCTCCTCCTCATCATCATCCGCCTCCTCCTCCATTCCTTCTCCTTATAAATAACTCCTCCCTGTCGCACCCCGAGGCCAGTTCTTAGGGCGGGCCGGGCGCTTCGCCCGAGACTTCTTCAGCACGTATGACTCTGTAGCTTTAAAAATAACAACAATTTCACAGATGGAGGGCGGGTCGTTTTCAAGATGTGGCTCTCGCTTTAGCGCCGCGCATTTTTTTCGAAATCTGCAAGAGCTTCACGGATTGAGGGCGGGTCGTTTTCAAAATGTAGCTCTCGCCTTAACGCCGCGCGCATTCTTTGTAAACAAAGAGCTTCACGGATTGAGGACGGGTCGTTTTCGAAATGTGGCTCGCGCTTCAGAGCCGCGTACATGTGTTTTAAGAATGCAAAAGCTCCACATATTGGGGGCGGGTGGATTTCAAAATGTGACTCTCATCTGAGCGCCGCGCACAGTCTTTGTAAACAAATGCAAGAGTTTCACGGATTGAGGGCGTGTGGTTTTCAAAATGTAGCTCTCGCCTTAGCGCCACGCTCAATCGTTTAAATAGTTTTCAAGGGATTCACGGATTGAGGGCGGGTGGTTTTCAAAAAGTGGCTCTCGCCTCAGCGCCGCGCACATTCGTTTTCACAATTCACGGATTGAGGGCAGGTGGTTCTCGCTTCAACGCCGTGCACATTCGTTGAAAAAGTGTGCAAGGAGTTTCACGGGTTCCCATGATCAACGTACCAAAAATGGTGTTTTCCTCTTCCACCCCTCCTTCTTCCCCTTCGGGGAGGGGTTTACCCCTCCCCCTAACCCCCTCCCCTGGACTTGGACGGGGGGGGCCGCTGGTAGGTAGAGCGTCCAAAACGGCCTCGGCGAGGAAGCCAAAATCATCGTTTTTACTAAGGTTTTGGCCGATGCTGGAGGCTCCCGAGGGGGGAGGCTAATTGGGGGACCCCCTTCCTTTGATCGATCACCTCCAAGATGGCCCCAAGAGCGCTCCCAAGGCTCCCAAGAGCACCCCAAGAGGGCCTCAAGAGGCGCCCAGGAGGCCCCAAGAGGCGACCAGGAGGCCCCAAGAGGCCTCCAAGAGTCCCCGAGAATACCCCCAAGAGGCCCCCAAGAGGCCCCAAGAGGCTCCCACGAGGCACCCAAGACGGTCCAAGAAGCTCCCCGGACCGCCAAGAGGCCCCCAAGACGCCCCAAGAGACCTCAAAGAGTATCCCAAGAGACATCCCAAGAGACTCCGCGAGGCATTCAAGAGGCCTTTGACTCTTCTGATCGCCCTTATCCTCCTCCTCCTCCCTCCCCCTCATCATCACCACCACCACCACCATCATCATCATCATCATCATCATCATCATCATCATCATCATCATCAGCATCATCATCATCATCATCATCATCATCACCATCACCATCACCATCACCATCACCATCACCATCACCATCACCATCACCATCACCATCACCATCGTCAAGACCACCACCATCATCGTCATCATCAGCATCATCAATATCAACATCAACATCATCATCCGCCTATTCCTCCTCACTCCTCCCTCCCAACCCTCATCATCCTCCTCCTCTTCCGCCTGCGACTCCTCCTCCATCCCCCCCCCTTGGGGTACGACGGCCTCCCCAGCCCCTTGTTCCTCTGTATGCTGCCCCGCTTCCATGATCACCTCTACTCGCCTGGGCGTCGTTTCTGGATGGGCTGGTGGGGATACGCCAAGCGTCAAGAATTCAAAATCATGCGAGTGTAACACTTATATTAAAGCGCGGTGCTGGAATCCAAAAAATGGCGTATGCCACGATTCCCGATCGCCACAACGCAGCAATCAGGTCGATACGTGGCGTGGAATTCCCGAGAACAATGTTTTGGCATGCTTCATGACCTTCAAACGGTCGTCTTCCAACGAGGTAGTTCCTTCAATGGAACTGAACTGTTGTAGGGGCCTATGAAGAGGGAGCTTGGAGGGAGGGTTCATTCCAACATCGTTGGTGACTCTTGGGTTTACACTGGTCCTCCTCCTCCTCCTCCTCCTCCTCCTCCTCCTCCTCCTCCTCCTCCT